AATGCCAATTTAAAATGTGGGGGTGGGGGGGAGAAAAAATATTCACAAGTCTTATATGAAGGATGGAGGGCTGAATAACTTTTAAGAAAATTACTCAAGTCACTAAACATGATATTTAAGATCATAAAAAAACATCATTCTTCCAAGTTTTTACCCAGTGAAATCATTATACTGCCCAAGGCGGTTTTTCCATAGAGCAGATTGTCTATTACTTCATTTCTTCTAAGGAACTAAATAAGTAGGGACAAAGGCAGTTGTAAGAGGTATACTTTTACTGTGGGGTCAAGGTCCAGAGGAGGAGGCACAAAAGATTGTTTTGTTTTTTAGTAGGAACCACTTTTATCCTGTCAATGGGTAAGAGTAGCTGTGGCCCTCTTGCACTTTTTTGTGGGCCAGAAGTTAAAGTTCATGTTGGACAAAGACTGTTTCTAATCTCATCTCATCCCCTCCTCCTATAGCTACGCCTTCCCTCTTCTTTTCTAACCTACTCACTATATTAAATGATTCTAGACCAAACTCTTCAAATATTTTATTATCTTCTACTCCTAATACCTTGTACACAATGAACTTCAGCAAGCAAACATGCAATCTTACAATTTCAATTCTTCAAATAAACAGAATCTCCTAAACATTGAGGAACAGTAAAGTTCTGTTGTCCTTGAGTAAATTTTCTGAAAATTACTTTTATTAATTTTATCCTGTATGGTCATCTGCAGTGTTCAAATTTGCCAATCAATTGCTTAACTCCACTTCAGTTTACCTTTGCAAACAAAGTCATTGGGTCAACATAAAAGATTCAGTTTCAAAAGTGGAACATTTTGAAAGCATTTTGCTTGCTAACACAAATATACCTTATGGTTAACTATTTAGTAGAGATCGATTTCCTCAAACTTGACCTGGTTATTTGATGAGTTTAAGAATAGCTTCAGTGGCACCAAACTATTAAAATATACTGAATGTATAAAAACAATGATCAATCTCAGAATTTTCTTCTATATCTTATTAGCATGTGCTCTGTAATGAACTAGCATTTTATTCTTTCTTAAAAATGAGCACAGGTCATGGCTAAATCATTCTCAGTGTTTAAAATAATGGCATTACATGTTTACTTAACTGCTGCATTGTAACCTTACTGAATTATCTAAGTATGATTCTAACATTGCCCCCATAGATTTTTTTTTTAAGTTCATCAGTGCTTTCTTTTTCTAGATCCTATCATTATCCAGAACTGGATATGTGTAAGAAACCTGTAATTTAGAGTTGAATTACATGACTGGTAAATGTATTGCTGTCCCTTATTTTTTTTATAAACCAAATGAATACAAAGTAATAAACCTATACAAAAAAATGAAAATTACTTTTGAATGGCATCCTTTCGGAGAAAGACCTATTATTAAAATATTATGGTAGGTTTTAAACATCAATAGGATTGAATAAATCTTTGAAATAAATAAAACGTGCTTAGGGTCTTTGATATTCTAATATTCCATCATCATTTTAAGTACATACAGCACTTCTACTCCAGTAAGATGTCTCAAATCCTATATAAGAAAATCAGGAATTTATTCTCTGACAGTAAATTTTATCAATCAACTATGACTGAATGAATGGTTTTACTTGGTACTAACTTGCACATTTCATTTTTGGCTTAAAAAATGTTAAATATTAGATTCTTCACATTAAGCAAGGATCAACACACCATGACTAAATTTTAAAGAGTCTCATTACTGTATTTATGTATGCTAAATTAAACTAACAAGTCTGCCCTTTTAATTACCTGTGTTATAATGTGTACCAAATGTACACGGTACTTGCTGTATTAGTCATTTCCCCTTCTGAACTCCAGAAGCACACTTACTTTTTTGGTCTTTCATTTAGTGTCCATTATCAATTCATTTTACTAATTCTAATTTTACCCTGGAGACTTATCTCAAAAGTACCTATATAATCTCCTTGAGGGCACATAGCCTTTAGTATAGGATTATGCATAAGACTACAGAGATCTGGTGGAGAATGGTAATAGCTGAAAAGTAAAAAAGAAACTAGTCTAAAATTTTACTGGTTAATTCTGCTTAAGATACATTCTAAATCCTTTTATCACACTATGACCCAATAGTAAAGTTCCCAGAAACAACCAGGTCACTTTCTTCTATTCAGCCATCCATCTCACTCTTAAAACCACACATAGATGTGTGTAGAGCTTTTTCTTTATATCCACTGTTCCTGTGCCCCTGCCACACATCGAGTCTCTTGCTAATCTTCTCAACAAACTTCATCCTCAGTCTCTACTTCTGAACAAATTTTGGCATAAGGAGATGAGAAATTTATGAATGGTATGGAAATATCCACTGCAGTGCATCAAAGAATATACTAATGGTAAAATATTGTTTAACAGAAGCTTTCATTTAAAATATTTTTTTGAGTTGTTTTGGGGACGATCTATCCCTTGTTTTGAAGCACCACTTTTGTTGCTGGGAGAGTACTGAGGTAAGAGGACATACCTTTGACTACAGACAAATCACCAGTTGCTTAGTTTCCAATGGCTGAAAATATAACTGTTTTCATGTTATGAAACTTAAGTATAACTGAGTTAAAACACAACCTAAATATATTTTGTGCTTAATTTCAACTAAAATCCTTTTTTTTTTTTCCAAAGTGAGTTTTAAACCCAGGGCCATTATACTACCGAACTACGCTCCCAGTCCTTTTTATTTTGACATAAAGTCTAAATTGCAAAGACTGGCCTTGAATTTGTGATCCTCCTGTCTCTGCCTCCCTGGGATTATAGGCTGATCTCTAATACGTGGTCCTTCTGCCTAAATTGTTCTGGGATTACAGGCATGTGCCACCACGCCAGGCCCTGTCTCGTTTGTGGGCTTCTTTTTTTCCCCTAGTAATTTCCAAGTGGTGTTTTGCTGGTGGCTTCTTTAAAATAAAAATAAAACATATTCAAACCATTCTTATAATTAATAAAGCAGAGAATAAATTGCTTACTTTTTACCTGTCTCTAAAGGTTCACTCCCAATGAGCTAATTTTAAGATTTCAAACCCTGGTGGTCTCCTAACAGATTTTATTTCCAAAAGCAATTCTTATAGTTTACATTTTTATTGGCTAACAAATATTTGTTTCCCCATAGAGGTCTTTTAATTTGCTAGTTGACTGATGTATACTTCCTACACTGAATTTTGAGATGTGCACTATAAGCTCTTCCAAGCAATATTTTATTTCACATAGACGAGAACAATTGGGAAGTTGATTCAACTTACCTTTTTCTTCTTAAGTCTTTCAACATTTAAATACTGCTGAGGAAAATCCCTAACACAGCCTTAGTGCCCGCCCCCCCGCAATGAACTTTCCTTAATTCATTTACTAAAGCTGAATGAATTAAACCCTCAAGTAGTTATGGGACATGTATTAGTTTTCCCTTCCCTTCTGATTCTTATAATATTAATATAGACACTTCCATTGAAGTGTCACACGTTCATTGAAGGTAATTATGTATGTTCTTTACCTCAGATGTGATTTTAGGTGTTGACTGTAAACCAATGAACCACACATGCCCAAATCCTTACTCTCAAGTTTACAAAATAATTGTAGCAGGGGAAGGGACTCCTTCCATTATTAAAACTGAACATGCCAATTCTGGTTTGGATAAATGCTCTGGTTCTCTATTTCTTGAGAAATAATGATACCACAATTACATTAGGGAAAATAATCAAAAGGCTTGATCTGACACTTGTACACAAAGAGTACAAGGAGGAAAAAATTAAATCGGTTATCTGGGGCAGGATTTCTAGGCTAGGAACAAGTATGGAACCTAGGAAATTCGAAGATTCCTGAGGGGTAAAAGGGAGGTCACTGAAAGATAGAAGCCTTGAATTGTATGTGTAGGACTAGGGATTGAACCCAGGGCCTCATGCATTCAAGGTAAGCCCCCCAGCTGAGCTATATCCAGAGACCCAGGGAAGTTTTCAATTTTTAAAAAGACGCTATGTAATTCAGAACAGGATCAGGGCATACAAAGTATAAATGATCAGATGAAACTACACCTAAACTGAGGTACAGGTTCAATTCTTTTTGAGTAACAGGGAAGTGATTTTAGACAATTCAAAAATGTGTTCCTGAAGGTTAATTCTGTATCCCCTGGCTTAATTACTGTTTAAATGTTGTGAAAAATGTATACGACCCTAAATTAAGGCCTCTGGGTCTTATGATGTACCCAATAAGATTTAATTACTGAACACTTAAGGAAGATACTCATGTTTTTGTTCTTCACTGTAGTACCTTACACATTTATGATTGTTTGATCACCTAGAAATTGCTGCTTCCGTGAACCATGTCAATTTGTTTTAAACAGTGTAGACCCATTATAATCAGCATGTGTCTACTTATCAGATAAATTAGGGGTAAAATACGTTGGTCTCTAGAAGAGACTTCAATGTATCACTAGGATATAAACAACCTAGTCAAAACAAACATGACTGGATTAATAAAATCCTGACTGGCTAGATTTTAAGTGCTCAGTATAGTTCTCAGTCTTTCATATATTTTTACTTATTAGAAACCTAAGTATCCAAATTAAAAAAAAATTAAGCATGACTTGATAATTTATCAGATTAAGCAAACAAAAAAAGGACAAGTTTTGAGTGTTTGAATATCAGCTTTGTATCCTACAAATAATTTCCTACCTATAAAAATTAGGATATAAAAACAGATTTCATAGAAAATGAGAGTGAACCAAACAACTTTGGTACTTGGCCCCACCTTCCCAATTGAGAAGCATAAACTTCTGGATCATTTGTAGTAACAAAAAGAAAGTAGCCACCAGGAAAAAAAAGCTACAATAAATCATTTTTATTTCAGTGTTTATTTTGAACAACTTCTTAACAAGCAGTTAAAAATATTTTAAACATGAAATGCACTAAAACCTAAATATGACCAAACTAAATACATAATTAGGTATGCACCTCTGTATTCAGCTTATTAGATGTAGAAAACATTGTCAACAATTTTTTTTAATGGTCTTAAAATTCATGGGGATACATGCATGTTCTTAATGATCCTTTAAAAGTTCAGAAATATATACTGATTTTAATTTACCAAAACAGAAAATTACATTAATTCAGGCTTCAAGAAGAAAGTGAACTAAAACATCCTTAAGCCAAAGAATAGTCTGCAAAGAGTCAATGGGGCATGATGCTTGCTTCTCATCATTTTCAAATACCCCAAACTGGACTTGCATGCTGAGCTCTCCTTATCTTTATTGCTCAGCTGATAGGCTCTCAATTCTTTTTGACAATCTACATGATTATCAATTACTAACAACAGTATTTCATTAAACATGCAATAAACTTTTAAAGTGATAGTGAATTTTTCTCCAGGCAGTTGCAGGTTGCATTGTCAGGAATCAGCATGTTGGGCTCTTCAAACTATGATTAAGGGAAACCCAAAGTCTGGTTTGCTGTGCTTAGACAAGTTTGCCTGTAAAAATGAAGATCTCAAAAAAGTTTTCAGTAAAATCACCAATACTTTTGCAAGTAGTGTTAAGCATAACACGAAGAAAGTCCTCTTTTCCTAAAGTTTTAAGGCTTGAAGCAACACCAACTCCAAATTACAACTTGATTAAAGCACTGTGGGAGGAATGTCAAAACAGTTTCACCCAGATCACTTATTGACTCATCTGTACCTCAAGATGGTTAATGTCAAATTAATGTCAATGTTTACATATTTACATTTTTGTTGGTATGTATGTCATCATCCCTAAGGAAAAAAATCAAAGAGAATCAAAAACAAAACTTGCCATTCTAAAACCAGAAACAAATCAAAACAATTCCCACTAAAACCAACATAACTTCAGCTTACTGCCAACCCCACAAAACATACTTATTAACTTTTTTACTGGAATTAAAATCTCAGTTCAAGTCCAAATAAGTTCTGTAACATAGGTTTAAAACCCAGGGATAGAGGTAACCATTTAGTGACTATTACAAATTTTGACATATTTAAAGCACATTTAAGAAACCACCATGCAGGCTTAATATCACTGGTAGGATATTTAAAAGCTTTGAACAAGACATTTTGATACATGTATACACTTTTTTTTCCACTTATAACCAGATAGTACCATTTTGCAGAGTACCATTAAGTTAGGTTAACCTTATGGAACTTTTTAAAACAGTTTAAAGCCAATGCTTTTCATTAAATAACCAAAACAAAACAATTTTTAGGTTTCCTTCAATTCAAAAGATTTGGGTAAAGAATAATTAGATTTCTACTTCATTCTATCACTGTACAATTCTGATTATTTTCTTTTCTTGAAAGTTTACCACGTAATTCCAGAACTGTGCAACTCTTACCTTTCTACTCGAAGACTAAGCTTCTTAAAATTTCTAAAGAGATACATTAGAGGTGAAAACGTCCATTAAGATTTCACCCAATGTATTTTAAAAGACATTCTCTAAAATTTATCAGGTGAGTTAAGTGCTAAAGTTATGGAAATTTACTTCATGTTACTAAGCAACTTTCATTCAAAATACATTGATATTTTGCAAAATGAAAGCATCCAAGTTTCCCTGGATCCCTGCTTGAGTTCAGTTTGGTCCTTTCCAATGTAACAGGTCAAGATACCCATGTTTTGTGTTAGCACCAGGGTTGAACCCAATGGTGCTCAACCACTCAGCCACATCCAATATTTTTACACATAAAAATAACAGACTAGAGATGAAACAAAAGAAATGCAGAAATGTCATGTTAAATTGCATTTCTTAGTTTCTACACCAGAGACAGAAATGACAGCAACCTGGAATCAACTCCCCTTTGAACTCATGCTTATTAAATGGGGGGCAAACATACATGTTAACTAGACTTGGATAAAAAAACTTCAGATTTTCACCTCACCACATTCTTGGCTTTAGAAATGCATGTACACAAACAGGTTACTTGTCACTCTTTTAGTACCAGTCTTTTTTTTATTCTGACTTTTTAAAGTTTTTAGATGGCAAAAACAGCATCCTGGGTCACTTACAGGACGTACATCATAAACAAAGAATTGAGTGCATACCAGCTAACTGCTGTACATCAAGAATTCATGTATTATGAGGCCTTAATCCTGAGTATCAAGCTTAATAAGACACATGGATTTAAACAGACTTGATATTTTTATCCATTTAAATACATGAATAAATACATGAATATATAACTTAATAACTTTTTGTCATGCATTTACAATGAATTTTTTGTACAATCGCAATCATATCGGATCACTTGATAGTCCAAGTGTTAACTCCACAAAGTGTCAACATTTATACTGCTAAGTTGAACATGAGACCAAAGAAGTGAACTGTTTAGTACCAAAGACAGCACTTGATTTCAAGATACAAAGTTAAACATTTTACACTAACAAAAAGGAACAAATTTGAAGTTACAAAGTCTCTTTTTAAATACTTTGTGTCTTTTTAAAACATTTTACAATGGAAATTGGAATCTTCAGTAATATTTAATTTTCAAAATCTTCTGGTCACAATCCCCACCAAACTCAACAGGCCGGGACAAGTGCAATACCATACAGAAACACAGCATTGCAACCGATCCCAACCTGTGTAGAAAGGGGTTTGATTTTCCCTTACTTTTCTACAGACTTTTCACTACCACAGTCAGTTTTGCATGGATTTGCACAGCAGAATATCACACAGCTGGATGCAAACCTGCAAAACTAACCATAGAACAGTGTTCAGTAACAGGACAGTTTGACTGGGCGACAGGCCGAAGCTGGAGTTCTACAGCTCGCAGTACTTTAAGTGCTCATAATGCAGTAGATAACTAAACACTACCTGCACTATAAGCACTTTAGTGCTACAGAAGCTGTCACATCAGAAACACCAGGCAGATTCTACATCGACACAATAAAAGTACACAAATTAGTAAAAATCACTTGAAGGAAATAGCAGGCCACCATCAGTTTTGCATAGATTTGCACAACTACATTCTTCTTGTAGTGCAACTATGCAAAACTAACAGAGGACTGCAAACAATAACTATTAAACCCCTATATACTTGCTTGACTTGAATTATTGGATGAAAACATAACTTCTTATGCCAGAAGGAGCACTTAGGGCAGTAGATGCTAATCTACTTCACTATCTGCACTAGATGCACCTTAGAACAAAAAGCACTCAACATCAGCAGGCCCTGCGCTTTAAAGCCCACCTTGGCTCCCCGAGGCAGCTGTCACCATAATGCTACAAGTGCCTTCACTGCAGTAGATGCACATATCACTACCTGCACTGTAAGCACTTTGACATTATTCTGACTGGTCACAATCTTCAGTTTTACAAGGTGATGTTCTCTTTAGTCCTGCTAAATTTGAAACAAATAATTAGATAAACACCTCAAACTAAGAGCTATGAAACATAAAATTCAGCTTAACCTCTTAAAAAAAAAAAAAAAATCAGTTCATCTAAAAACGAGTTCCACTTACACAGACATGCCTTAGAAGTAGAAAACTATTTACAGAAGGCATAAACTAACCACTACTTCAAAAACCATAACAGAGTGGTATGGTAGTGGCTATTCCTTGTTGGCCTTTCCCAAATACATACTACATACTTAAAAATAAAATTCATACAGCACACAAGTAAGACTTAATATCAGCAAGGCATTTTGACTCATGAGTACCTTTTAGAGGAAATCTTCACATCCAAGTGGCAAAACATTTCTTCTTCTGGCTTCCAATTAGCAAATACTTGATAAAATGATTAATAAAATTACTTTCAGACTTCATTTCAAGTGTAGAACTTATTTGTACAAGTTAAATGTACTCTTTAAAATCTTAAATTTGCCATCCCAGATTAGGTCTTCCTTACTCTACAACTTACAAGAAATCCTAAGATTACATTTTGTAATCTGTATTCATTTCCAAAGATGTTAAGGGTATTACACTGCACTTAAAAATTAGCTGACCGAAACTTAGTTAATTTTCTAAAAGAGGTAAATAGGACAAAGTCCAAAACACTTATTTCATGCTTTAAAAGCCCAATCCTATTGTATTTACTCGACTCCAAATTTTTCGAGTAAAGAGAAATTTAAGTTAAAGAAGAAAATTAAAACATACTCACCTATTCCAGTAAACTTCCTTCGCAGCAAAATATCCTTAGAAAAGCTTTTGGTGCGGTTAGGTCCACGTGTATGACTGGGGTGGGGGTGGGGGAAAACAGGGAAAAGAGAGAAACATTTGCTCAAAATTACCATCATTCTCATAATCCATATTTGCTCTTTTCCAACCCCACTAATGCCAATTAATTCCACCCACTTACAAAATCAAGTATAATTGAGCTAAGCAATGTTAACAAGATTTAAAAGACCAAAGATGTATGGGTGAAAAATGTGTAAGATTATTAAGTTGAAAAACCCCTACGTATCAAATTCATGCCTTAATTAATAAGCTCCTGAAATACTTCAGTATGATCAGCAGCAATCATTAACTCTACTGTACAGCTCCAATGAGAGGAAAAAAGCAGCCAAGAGACTATTCTTCACTACCCCTCCCCCAATCAAGACCTCGTGGCTGCAAGCCGGGATAAAGAGTTGTTTCCCCCAACTGCTGTGGTCCTGATGGCATGTTGCTAATTTTTGTTCTTTTGAAGATATCGCAGCAATGAGCTCGCCTTCTCCAGTTCTTTTCCACCTTTGCTTGGCTTAAGAACAGATAACCGGCATGATCACCAGAGACGGCAAAGTGCCCGCCACGCTCATGGAGCCCGGGCCGGCAGCACATGTCGCACAAGGGGGCGCGCGGCCCTGCGATTCCCCGCGCGTCCGCCAGGGGGCGGTAGGTCAGAGA